AAAGAAAAGCGACTAGAGGGGGTCTACAGGCTCGCTTTCTGGATCCGCTGCCCTGTAATACCAACGGCGTCTTTGATTTGGTTGAAGACGGATTTCCTATTATTCAGAAGATCAGTTGCACAGCTTTTCGCTGCTGAGATAACTTTTACAAATCTCCAAAATCTCTCACCAAGTCACGAAAATCTGTAGAATCAAAACGTGTATATTTGCAAATGCCTCACAACAGTGATGAATTGTCTTATCTTATATATTCCCCACAGAAGGAAGTTGAACCTCAACAACTCTGGCAAGACTTCGCCATCAACCCGATGCATCATTGCATCGAAGTCACGTGATTTAGTGGTGGCTGATCGCCACCCATGACCTCCAATAAAAGCGCAGATTTCAACAATCAACAGTTTCTTGGTGTAACAATGTGCAAACTCCCTACCCATGAGCTTTTCATTGCTCATAATTATTCTTTTAGCTGTATTTTATAGGACATTCTTCAACAGGAAGAGGACCTGATGCAAGTTTCAAATTTTTTTTGCGGAATACATTTGCGCTGCTACCGCTGATGGGTTCAACGCGGAGTGTTCCCTTCTCTAGGTCCACGCGTCCAGTGTTTCCTCTCCTCTCATAGGTTAGCTCTACAGGGGGAAGGCTCCCAGGTCGAAGTTGCCATTTACCATGGGCCTTCGCCATCAAACGCATTTTCCAGCACTGATTTCATATCTGCTTTTGGAACTCGCCGAGTGCTTCTATGAACGGAGTTATTGAGGTTTTCTACAGCACCGTCTTAGCGAGTACTGGCCGTGTCATGGCCCTCAGAAACGTTTCCGTGCTGAAAAGGTGCCATGATCGTCTACAGGGGTTCACGTTAGTTTTGAGAGCAAACTCCCAGCCAACTCTACAGGTTTGCACCAGCTTTGGAAAAACTGGGTATGGTCTGGTGGACTTCAGCCACTGGTTCACAGTTAGAGCCCTTCTGAAGCCTCTTTGAAGATTGATCGTGCCATTCCTAGCAGTTTGCCTTCAGCTCTGTTCCCTATTCACGTACTGCAATTAAAAGCGGATTTCATTGAAGAAACTACCGACGGTCTCCGACTACATATATTGAAGCAGTTAGGCCTCTGCGGCGTGATTCACCTAGATTTTCAAGCTTGGATAAAAGTTTTAATCCAGCTGAATTTGCTTCTAGAAGTGAGTGTGCTCCTCAACACGAATGACACTCGTTTCGAGCTGAAGTGCTTGTAAAATGCATCACAGTGCTTGTCATGCCCAAGCGTTCTTCTGGGCTGGAAGTGGTCCGATCTTCCTCCGCTCGCAAATGCTCTACAAATGATTCAGAAAAAAGCAGAAATGCGTGTTCATCAAAAAGTCATCCTACGGTCTTTTACCTAGGAGGCAAAAAGTCTGGTACTGCCCCGTGATTACCCATGACCATGACTGGCGTTCTTCGTACACTAAATATTAACGTGTTTCCATGAGATGAAATGTTGGACAACGCGAGAGTGCAATATTTCCACAATCCGCTCGGAGCAAAGTTCGACAAATTTTGAAAGGAGACCAACCCTGAAAAAGCATATTTTGGTGTAGGTCTCATCACAAATGGCCCTTCTACTTGATAACTTTCCGTAGTTCTCGGGGCATAGGCGACCAGAAGCTACATATGTGCGGCTTCGCCTTGTTGAAAGGGACCTCGTCGTGTAACCCGTGGATCTCATCAATGGTCGTAGCACCAACAGAATTGACACCTCCTGCAATATTACAACGGTTTTAATGTCTATCCTTTCAGAAAAGAAACTGGGCTCTATTTATTCATAATATCGAGCATTATGCTTCTGGACGCCGTTCTTCAGTACTACGTCGTGAATAGAATTCGAAAATCAGCTCCGCCAGTTGATGAAGAGCATAGTCAGGAGATGGGCAGTGTGCGACCTCCTAAGCATGAGAAATCATCGAGCGCAAGAAGCGCGTCTCAAAAGACGAAGTCTCATTCTTCACCGAAGACATCTAAGAAACAAACTCCTCAACCTAAACCTCAACAAGCACGTAAAGGAAAATCGAAGGGCGCTGCTGCGAAAGAAAAGAAGGCCCCGAAGAAAACAACCAAAGTAACAAAACAAGGTGATGACACGACTTCGTCAACGTCGACAAGTACATTGAACAAAATAATCGATTTATACGAACCTACCCCAACAAAACAGGAAACGAAAGCCACTACCAGTCCTCCGGTCAAGCCACCCACTGCTGGAAAACTCCCGAATTTGGCTGTTTCAGCGAATGAGCTTGCAAAGCAAAAAGTTGTCGATTGGTATTTAGTGCACTTATAACTGTGTATTTCTGAATAAAATCGTTTCTGCAGACATAAGTTATTCCTTTACATGTTGGCTCAGATACTATCGCGTGCATCACACGGGACGGAGTTTTATCATCGGCAGAAAATCCCTACTCTGGGGACCCGCCCTTCTTTATTCGTATGCTATCAGCCGATCCTACTACGCTATTTGTATAAAACACATCATGGAGCATATTCGGCTCCCATAAAGTGAATTTTCTTGTCAGTTTGTTTTCTTGTCTGTAAATCTTCCCGCTTCAAGCATCCAGCATCCTTCGCTTTTACTAACTTGAATAAATGCGGATGGAGGTATGTGACATGAGTCAAGACACGTTGAACACCCATCACCCGTAATACCTCATCACAGGAATTGTCCTTAACTTACAGTTCTTGCGCATGATGAGCTGACTTTTCGATTTCTCTTCACTATCTTTTACGTGTGGAAGCAGCTAATTTGGATTTATGCCGATGTTTCTCAATCTACCAATATAACAACAGTAACAAAGTGATTATAGCAGACTCTGTTTGCATAACAACCAACAATAAATGAAATGTATACAAAAACTCAGCAGAGAATATTATCCTGATGGGTTCGGGACTGCAATATAGTTGACGTTGTGCGCAAAACCGCTCTACCGAGTGACTGATCACTGCGAAAGTTTTTGCTAGCTATATCCTATGTCCTACTCAACAGAACTGCGCGCTCGAATTAAAGTGGGTCCGTACTTCGCGTTTTGACCGCGCGACCAAAGCTCTTGCGAGTATAAATAGTATGTGTTAACACACCCTTGTACCTCTGATGGTAAAGAGAATGAGTACATGAGTTGCTGAAAGAAACGCGGACCTCCGATTATACCCGACCTGAACTAATGCCGAATCAAGGCCCTTGGTAAGGAAATCCACGTTACGGAGGCGCGCACAATGTGTGTGTAATGTAGCCAGTAACTCATTCTTAGCAAGTTGTTTAGCGTTTCCACCTTAAAAAAATTACGTCTACGTTATAGAATCACGCACTGGTGAAGCCGTCCTCGCCGCATGGTCCCCAAGTGGAATTCCCAACAGACGCCTCCCCCCTGCAGCTACAGTGGTGAACCATACAAACGATTGAGCGTGCGACGCAGAGATGGGAGCGCTGCCAGGGCGGCCTCGTTCCAACAATGATGTCATATTGGGTCCTCAATACGTTACAAATGGTGGGGAATCTGCTCTGGCTGCGCTCCAAGCCCCACTGCGTGTCACGCCTTATGTTTTCTGACATCACGACTATAAACTAGACTTCGCTGCGGATGAAGGGGTGCGTCAGGCAGTACGAGTATTTGCCACGGCGAAAAGCCCGTTTCCTGTTAGTTGTTGAAGGTACGCAACAACAATGGGTGGAAAACCAGTGATGCGAACGAGATAATAGACTTTTCACTTGCTTTTTTCAATAACTACTGGAGAATTGGTTAGACACCGCCCCAAACTCATCCCGCCTGACACGCCCCTTCTCGCAGCGAACTAGAGTATGGGTCCGCTGTCTAGGTGAACATGGACGGGCTAGCAATTTTTCAGTCTGGGGATGACCAATCACACTACCTAGTAGCACCAACCTTCGTCTTCCCGAGCTTGCTCATGAACATAGAATCACGCCAATCAAGCATCGTTCACTTGTGATCAGAAGGTAACAAGGTTTCTTACTATAAGGTTGAAGACAAACTGTACACTCTTTCAAGAACTGTGCTTTCATGCGAGGCGAAGGGTTTGCAGCTGCTGTGGCACTTTCGTCGCTTAAAAAAGGCACGGGAACGGGTCTGTAGGGAGCGGTATCCGAGTGCCTTCTCTATACTACGCCCGCGCTGTTCGCAGGGTCCATGTTCAGCGTCGGTACCAAGGTCTCGCAGCGGAACACGCACTTAGCGGGTGAGGATGACCTGAAATGAGAATGCGCAGACAAGGAACGCGTTTGGTTAAAGTCAGGTAAGTGGCTGGCCGTGCAGCAGCGCAGGGAAAGTTTAAGAAGTCACTCGGGTGACACCGCTTTCCAGGCCCGTCCTTGAGCGTTTTTGAGCGGTGAAAGCGGTATCATAATGCAGCTGTGGAGTCAATCTCCTCACATACGAAAAGGACCGGACCCACGGAGGTGAGTGTACAGTTCGTACACAATTATTACGGAGCATCGACGTTTTTTTTTATACATGAAGAGATGAACATAACGAAAACAACATACAGAGACAAGAATCTATATCAGATTGTGATTCCATCTCCATTTGCCGGTCATATATTTTGGCGCTTGCAATAGCGCTGTACATGGATGTTGTCCTTGCACCTCACACATGCACTACAATCGAGCGTAAATAAGAAGTTTCACGTTCGCAGCAAAAATAGACGCAAGTGAAACAACTAAGGCCAAACCTGTCTCTTGCACTTGGAACCGAAATCAGCCGGATTCAGCTTTGCTATTTCCATTAGATCCTCTCTTTTCATGACCAGCTCGGTTTTTCCTAATGTAGTTGCAATTCGTGATTCGATTTCCTCACGATTCATGCCTTCCAGATCAAATAAGACCTCACGACCATCTTCTGAAAGTGAATGGATATTAAAAGGAAAGTATAGAAAGGCAGCACTGAAGAAGGTTCAAGTCACGGAAACGTAGGGAGAGAATGGAACTCATCGTGCTGCAAGTACATCAAACGCTACGGATCTCGAACCTGGTACTCCTGACCCCATTGTTTCCCTACTCAAGTGTGCGCTCCCTTTCGACTACTATGAACTCGCAAATTCCCCGTGTTCACTATGACTATATCATCACATACGCCCTTGAAGTCACCCCTTTTGTTTAGTAACACGTTCTAATCACAAGAGTGTCATTTGTTGCTCAGGTAGAGCAATCCTCCTTTCTTTCTTGTCATTCACTCTCCATGGCCGATTAACTTTAGAAACGCCCTGGCTTTCATATTTCCCCATGAACGCACCTTACTCCTTGCCAAAAGTTCTTCTGACTCTGCTGAAGAAACGAGAAACTCACTTAGATACGCCCTTGCAAATGGAGTGATGACGGTATCGATGTGCTTGACAAGTTGTACCCGTGGATTCTTGTACTGAAGTTGAGCCCAGTGCCAGAACACAAATTCTCGAGCACCTCGCTGCTCTTCATTCGGCTGCCGATGGAAGCCCATGGCGAACACCTTCAAACTATGTAGTAAAGTTACACAAGTGAACTCACTCACTGTGGCTTAGTTTCATTCACAGCCAGCTGTGATAAGCATTACCCCAGACAGTTATTGTTTTTGTGACAAGACAATCGTAACTTGCCGCGCTGCTCGGCGCGGCGAGCGACGCCGCGCACGGTGGACGAGTTGTTACGTCTGGCCATTTGCGGATTACTGTCAGAAGGCAGAAAAACCCGACATCGCTCGCATGAAGTCTTGCGCCTGAATTCGTAAGTGTTTCGCCGCTCTAATAGACGTACTGATCAGCATCAAAAGTTCGTTCCCCGCAACACGATAGGCCACACACGACGACATGACCACTTACGACTGTCTTGTTGGCCTTTGACCCTTTCCGAAGCCAGCAACCTGCAATACTGTTGGTAACCTTGATGAAGGGAAAGTCACCACCCATTCCTCGAGAACGGTGCTTGAGAAGTGAATGGGTCCGCAGCTGCGCCGCATGAAACTATTTAGGTAGCGCGGCTGGAAAGTAATGATATCGGGGCCGCCTCGATACCATGCTCGAGGTGAAGATTTGGGTCGAATACCAAGGTTCCGCAGGGAACAAAAAGTCAGCGGTACGGAAAATTGAAAGGGACAAAGAAGTAGCGTGTTTGGCTGGCCGCGTGGCTAGCCGTGGGCGAACGCGGCAGGAGTGAAAAGCCGGCACCTAGGTATTGGTACCTTCCGGCTCCCTTCTTATGCGTTTTTGAGCGATGAGATGGCACACTACTGCAGCTTTGGGTCGTTCAACTTGCACATGACAAGGATCGGGATCTACAAAGACAAGTGCAGAGTTTCTCTCCCAGTGGACAGTAGAAAAGCGAGCATAGTTCGAAAGGGGCACGCGACAGCGTGAACAGTTAGTTCCGTATGAGGCTATGTCGCAGCGACTATGGCGCCCCGCGTTGCTGGATCTGGGTCCCGCGGAGGGGAAGGGACACGTTTTCACTGCAACAAGCGTCCCTCCACCACCTCTCTCGGAACTACAATGATAACGAAAAGTCCAATTGGGCCAGCAGTATAAGCCGACATGTTCCCACAAAAAAAAAACATAAATGCTTAAAATTACTCAATATCTCATAGCAATTATCTTAGGTTATTCCAGATCAACTACCTGAACATCATCCCTGAACTTGATCTTTCCTTGCAGAAGATAGTAAAATGTCCGCCGAAGCGGCATCGTACCGTGCATGAACGGCATTTCGACTGGAAAAACTCATCACAATCAGATCAACGTAACGACGTTAAAAAATGGTAATATCAATGGCTCGGAGACCAACGCATCACAACAGGTTTCTAAATTAAAAGCCAAAATTTTATTACGCAAATGCAACAACAAAACTCAAACTTCAGGATAAATAGCTTCATAGAAACCCATTCCTACAACATTCGTTCATGAGCAAGAATAACTGACACCACTCGACTATTGCAGCCCCAACTTATCGAGAAAATTGCTGAAACTTTATCTATAGGGATGAATTAGTGAACTGATCTTCAAAACGACAATCATGCCTAGCGCCGCCGCGATATTTTCGTTCAGGATGCTCAATGGATCCCAAGTTTGTTGAAAAAAAGTTCAAAATTAATAGATTGAGCTTCAGCAGTAGAATTGTGAGTCGAAATCTATGAATGTCTACAGAAACAACAAAAAGGCACACAAAACCAAATCGACTCAGCAGACGCACTCATAACTGCCAGGATCGTACTCTCCCAAGCCTGGTATCGTTTAGGACTAGAACGAATGTGTAGCACAGCTGCATGCAACAGTTGAAATGCACAGAAGCTGCGCAACTTCACATGACTGAATTCAGTCTCTTCATCCACAGCTCGACATTGTTTGGCAGAGGAGAGTTGGAGGCCCCAATCAACACAGATCTGTAAAACCGTCGGATAAACTCCACTGAACGGGATGAAGAACTAAGTGATTAATAGAACCAATATCCAGTGAACAATAGTAAATAGTAAAATGTGAGCAAATACTACTAGTGTTACAAGTTTGATAAGTTCTTCTGTGCACACGAGGTTGGTAGGTGGAAACTTTATTATGGCCTGACGTTTCGACTAGATCGTCTTCATCAGAGGCCTAAACGTGGCTCATGGTTTGAAATTGCTCTCTCTACACCGCCAAAGATCTCCTCCCCCTAACGTTTCTGACAGACTACTGAGAAAACCACCCAAAAATCCCGAATGAGAGGAAAGACTCACCCAGTCCACCACAGCGAGAGCGGAAGTAGCCGCTCAGTTAGTTGTTAGTACAATGAGTGGGACTTACTGTGCCAATCGTTGTACAGTGATTATAGTCAGAAGTGGCACAAAATGATTTAGGACTGCAGCAAACGTAAGCACAGGGGCAGCTTACTGGCAAGAATCCGTACGGCTTGCTTCTGATATGGCGCTTCAAATGGCTATCCTGTACCAGCTAATCGTAGAAGAACTCACACTGAGCACCGACGCGTACCGCGCCAAAACAAGCTCCCGCTATGTATACCATTCATATCTGATAGAGTGACTGCTGCAATTCAGAGATGTCTTTTTCGCGCGCAGTTGGACAATGATGCTGTAATTAGTATTCCTGCTGCTAACAACAAACGCCAACTGGTGCGAAACAGACTCTACGACAGGCAGTGCATATCAGAACAGTGCGTTACTTGTCCACAAGGTTCAATTGGAGATTGCGCCAAAAGTGGTGTGATCTATCAAATTGAATGTTTGGCATGTAACGCAACCTACATTGGGGAGACTGGAAGACCGTTAGCAATACGCATCAAAGAACATCTTGCTGGCAAAAGGCGTGGTAATATAAGAACACCACTCGGCAAGCATTGATCGAGGAGCACAGCGGAAACGACTTTGATGTGAAGTGCACGATCCTGGCATGCGAGACTGAGATTTCTGCCAGAAAAGCGCTAGAGGCATTCTGGATTTCTGCAAGAAATCCTAGAATGAACAATGAGTGCTTATCCATAACAAATGATCTCTTGCCATTTGTTTCGCACTGCGAGCTACTGATGTGAGCGGTGGGACGTGCCATTTCTGACTATGGTCAGAAATGGCACGTCCCACCGCTCACTATACACGATTGGCACAGTAAGTCCCACTCATTGTACTAACAACTAACTGAGCGGCTACTTCCGCTCTCGCTGTGGTGGACTGGGTGAGTCTTTCCTCTCATTCGGGATTTTCGGGTGGTTTTCTCAGTAGTCTGTCAGAAACGTTAGGGAAGGAGATCTTTGGCGGTGTAGAGAGAGCAATTTCAAACCATGAGCCACGTTTAGGCCTCTGATGAAGACGATCTAGTCGAAACGTCAGGCCATAATAAAGTTTCCACCTACCCTCACGTGCACAGAAGAAATTATGAAACGTAACAATGCCGACGTTTTACGAAAGGAGAAGTTGGACACAGTTTTCCGATTGTATAGCCCAGTGGTACTTCAGTGAGAGGGAAGGGGTGTTACTGGCCTTGTATTTACTTCGAATAGGTTCCTCAGGAAAAGGAATATCATCCGAATATGCAAGCAGTATAAAAAAATTACCTTGCAATCACATCTGCTATACCAAAGTTGAACTGCGATCCAAGAGCATCGAACTGCGAAAGAAATTGGCTTGCTTCACGTACTACGTCCTCCTTGGTCGATTTTCCAGCTAATACTGACTCGACCTGGAGCAAAAAAAAACTGAATCAGGGTAATGATGCTACTCTAATTTAAAGCAAGCAGATGGCTGTTAGAATGAACACTCACCTTCAGGAGCCATCTGTGCTGGTGAGCTGCTTGAATTGAGTGATTAGGGGCAAATGAAAAAATGCCTAAAGCAGCACCAAATAGTTTCCAACTGGTTACACGGCAATTCAATGTGCCACAGGAGGATACGACGGAAAACTTTTCTGAAAAATATAGAGACCTGTTTGTAACTAACACTTCAATTGACTTTGTAGCTTTCTTTCCACTCCTATGTAAAATTACTTCACAGTAAAGGAATAAAGGATCGATGAGAACTCGAAGCTGCAGCCAATTTTGCAGAACATTGCGCGACCATGAGATCATAACCATGACTTATCAAAATTGAGGTCATAGCATATCAGATAGCGCGCGATACAAACATATCCTCTGCATCCCAGTGCGAGTAAAACATCGACAAAATAGCCAATCTTCAGTTTATTTATGCTTCATACGTTGCATAAGGCAAGCGTGAGAAAATAATGCGAACACATAAATACATAGTTGATATAGTCTGATAAAAAACCTACCTCCAAGTGATGAGTTAACTATCGTTAAAGGGTCTTTGCAATCATTTACCACAGCGCCCTTGAAAGCTATATTCCTTTTTGAGCTCAAACGTGACAACGCCTCCACCCACGGTTGATCGTCCACCGTGAATGTGAGATCGATTTCACCTAACTCTAAATTAATCACGGTCAACTTACGAAATTTCCGGACCTTTAAGAACTCCAAAACGAAGCGAGTAACTCTACCCTGGCTTCCAAAGTTGGTAAATGTCTGAGGCAAGCAAGCAGTGAGAGACTGGCCAGTTTCCGACGTTCTTTTGTCCTCCTCAAAAATGAATTGAAACACTATTATAAAAAGAGCTCCAGCTAGTACTCAAAGCTCAGCTTACGTTAACCGTCCACTGTCGGTCAGAAGCAGCTAGAGCTGTGGATTTAGCCGTACTAGACGGAGCGGATGCCACCTATAAATGACGAAATGCTTAATTAAAGAGGACTAATAAAGAAAGAAGCTTAGAGCTATGGCTTAGCAGCCCATTCCTGTGGCAGTCTCGAACTGAATGTGTCACTCACCTTGCTTTTAGCTTCTGCCTTAGCGGCTTTGCGAGCTTCCTTCTTGGCTTCCTTGTCCTTTCTGCTGTCGTCCTTTGCTGACACTTCAGGTTTCTCAGAAGAGATCGGAATATCAATGATGGACTTGTTCTTCCCTTTCTCATTTGTCCCCACACTAGCTAAACACACAAAGGTAATAGAATAAAACTCAGCAGCCCAAAGAAGAACACTCTCTGGAAAAGAATGTCGGGTGTGCATATAACGTACACGACTTCCCCATTTCCGTCAAGAGGTTGTCGAGCGTCGACGTGAGATTCATAAGAGACTTGATCAGAGCGTGTTGCTTGCGCTCTATTACTTCTGCCGGGTCATGTGTCTCCTCCGGCAAACCATTGCACATAGCTGGTGAGTCCTTCAATATGGAATACTTTAAAACGGCACTCCACAAAACTGGGACTATCATCATCTATTAAGAAGCACCGTCCATTGAGTTCGTTCTCTAAGGCCACGTTCATACTTTGCGTCAACATGCGCCAGCGACTAAGGAAGTGTAGATATTGATCTAGCGAACGCTAGCGTGCGCCAACAAGGAGGAATGTATGGATATCGATCAGTGTCTGTCAACGTTTTCACGGGCAACTTGAGCTTGAGCACAACTGCCCGCGAAAACGTTGCTGTACGCTGGCATTCGCTAGACTGATATCCGTACTTTTGTACTTGCTGGAACACTGGTGTACGCTAAATCAATGTCCATAGTTTTCTAGTCGCTAGCGCTGGCGTAGGCTCCAAATACCGGTGTAGGCTCACGCAAGGCATGAACGCATCCTGACTCAGGAGCTCGACCCCTTTCAGGTATAGGCAGAAGTCTTCATTCTCGTTGTGTAGGTGCCACTTTCCACAACCAATCCTGTGAAGACTCTCTTCGACCTACTTCTGTAGATACCCGAAAAAGGCAACCATATTACGACCACTTGACGATTTCTGATCTAATCTCTGTGTCGCAACACTTCATGGGAATTTACTGAATTCATTCATACTTTACCGAGGTGTAGAACCGGCGATTCCAGAAACGGCGCCTAAGAAAGTGCAAGTATTTCTACCGAGAATTCGCGATTCGAGAGAATATGCCGTGCGAAAGATCGCTGGCAGAGGATTGGATAGGAATCGACCGACCACTAGCGAATCACAAACTTTTCAGCTGGCACAGCCCTCGAGTCGCGGATTCTCTAGGCTGGTACTTATATAGTTTTGTTCGCCGCGGACGAACGGTCGTGTCAGCGAATGAGTTCGGCGCGAAATCCGTTCTCCACCAGCTGTTGAAGCGAGCAAGTCAGCAAGCTGTATCATATCGTTCGTATCATCGTATCACTCGTTTTCTACAATTACTGTCGCATACCCGCTACAACAACTGACAGAGAACGGGTTCGGCGCCGTGGCACACTCCTGCCTGGCACGGCCCCTTCATCCACAGCGAATTAGAGTATACCTCCCTTTACAGCTTCCTCGATTACAAGGTGTCTGTCAACCGGGTGCTCTCTCCCTGTGAAAGTCCAGAGGTGTTTCCTCATGGCATCTTCTGGTTTAGCATCTAGAGAAATGGAAATGACAGAAGGAAGGAGGAATCAAAAAAAGAAGGGGAAGAAAGACTTCGCGGATGACAGATATCCTGAGACCCAGCCCTCTTCCAAACCGCGGATTGTCCACATTTGCAATAAGTATGGAAGTCGCAGCGCTGCTTCCATATTTTTGCGCATACACTGGCAAACGTTCTTGTCTCGGCCACTTCCAGAAAAAATCATGTGTTCACTAAAGGTTCCGTTGATAAAGAGAAAACCTAGGCTAATGACATGAACAGGTCGAAAGGAGCTTCTGGCTCTAATGACATTGGAGGGAAGGGAGGGCAACTAAATGTCTCTTCATGCAAAATGTTATACTAATATCATTCAGAAGAAGGTAGAAAAACGCCTTTCGAAGCGGTATTGAACTTGCAGCTTCTCTCCTTACTGCGGGAATCCAGTTTTCCACAAGGAGTCTTTCCAATCCTATACGGTTATGAAGGCGCAGATTATTTCTGAAGATTTCCCAACTTTTGGTGAGTATGGAATGGTGCGCACTCTGCGAACGGATGCACTCTGCTGAATTACCATTCATTCTTCTCAAAAATAATCAAAGGAACGACTGTCTTCAATGCAGAAACC